GGAGGGCGGCGCGAGTCTCTCCAGGGGGCCCTTGTGTCCCTCCAGGGGGTCCCGAGTCTCTCCAAGGGGACCTTGAGTCTCTCCAGGGGGTCCTGGGTCTCTCCAGAGCACCCTTGTGTCCCTCCAGCAGAGGCCTGGGTCTCTCCAGAGCATCCTTGAGTCCCTCCAGGAGGGTCCTGAGTCTCTCCAGGGGGTCCTGAGTCTCTCCAAAGCACCCTTGTGTCCCTCCAGGAGGGTCCTGAGTCTCTCCAGGGGGTCCTGAGTCTCTCCAGAGCATCCTTGAGTCTCTCCAGGAGGGTCCTGAGTCTCTCCAGGGGGTCCTGCGTCTCTCCAGAGCATCCTTGAGTCCCTCCAGGAGGGTCCTGAGTCTCTCCAGGGGGTCCTGAGTCTCTCCAGAGCATCCTTGTGTCCCTCCAGGAGGGTCCTGGGTCTCTCCAAGGGGACCTTGAGTTTCTCATGGGGGTCCTGGGTGTCTCTAGTGGGTCCTGAGTCCCTCCAGGGCACCCTTGTGTCTCTCCAGTGGGGTGCGAGTCTCTCCAGGGCACCCTTCTATCTCTCCAGGGGTCCTGAGCTCTCCATGGGGCCCTTGAGTCTATCTAGGGGGGCCTTGTGTCTCTTCATGGGGTCCTGAGTCTCTCCAGAGCGCCCTTGTGTCTCTCCAGGGGGGTCCTGAGTCTCCAAGGGGGTCCTGAGTCTAGGGGGTCCTGAGTCTCTCCAGGGCACCCTTGTGTCCCTCCAGGAGGGTCCTGGGTCTCTCCAGGGGGTCCCAAGTCTCTCCGAGGGGACCTTGAGGCTCTCCAGTGGGGTGCGAGTCTATCCAGGGCACCTTCTATCTCTCCAGGGGGTCCTGAGCTCTCCAAGGGGCCCTTGAGTCTATGTAGGGGGGCCTTGTGTCTCTTCATGGCGTCCCAAGTCCAGGGCACCCTTGTGTCTCTAGGGGGTCCTGGGTCTATCCAGGGGTGTCTTGAATCTCTCCAGGGTGCCCTTATGTCTATCCAGGGGGTCCTGAGTCCATCCAGGAGTGTCTTGAATCTATCCAGGGGAGTTTCACATCTATCTAGGGGTGCCTCCAGTCTATCCAGGGAAGCCATAAGTCTACCCAGGTGGAGCCTTGGGTCTGTAAAGGTTGAGAGCTGCTCCCCAGAGAACATGCACTGGGACGTGGTTCGAAAGGCAGTGCCACATGCAGTGTCTTCAGAAAGTAACCAGTGCTCTTGGCGCTCTTCGCTCCGGGTGACTAGAACAAGCAACCGCTGCCACTAACAGAACGAAGCTGGAGCCAGCACCTTTTTATTTTATTTTTTTTAAGGGTCAGACTTTATCCGGTGCTTGATGTCTCCTTGCATGTCCACGTAGGGTGCAATCCATCCAGTCATTTGGCACCAGCAGGCACATGCGGGCTCAGATACTGCAAGATGCATGCATCGCTTTGTACGAGCTGTGTTCGCTCCGGTATTCCCAATAATGACATCACGGCTGTCTGGATTTGCAAAATCCCACTGGAAACCAGTCTGTCACAAGCAGTTTTTCAGCAGGCATCCCCAGCCCCACGTGCAACACCCCTGTGAGAAGAGGTTTTGCAAAGGCCCTTCATTTCTACAGTGAGGCCAAGCGGGCCTCCCTGATGCTAATAAGAGCTTCGCCACTGACTTCAGTGGAGCTGGGGTGTTCTTCCCCCAGTCCTAACCCCTTGTCCTTGGTCATCCTGCCACCCTCTGCCTGGTGTCAGGGCTATAAGCAGCACTGTACAGATGGTACAGGACATGCCATGCCAGGGACAAAAGTAAGCAAAGGCGCTAAGGGCTCGCCAGGGCTGTGCTCAGCACCAGGGTCACACACTGGTGGAGCAAAGCATGGTCTAACAGTAGAAAGGACAAAGCCTGCTCCTTGAGGCCAAGGGACGTATGGTCTCTGCCTAAGGCCTGCCCCACTGGCAAAACTGCCCGAGGCAGTAGGCCTTCACCTTTAATAACCACTGATCAAACGTGCTCCATACCCACTGGGGGTAGGGTTTCAGGATCCTATCTTTAGAAATTAATCTGCCCTTTGACATTTCCTGTAATAAATAAAAGGCCTCGTTTACTATCCAGCTCCATCTGTCTCTAATTAATGCTCCATCTCACCGAACCCCGGCTTGCTTAGCTAATATGCATCTCTCCCCGCCCACCGCACATTTTCCTTTCCCTGGGCATGGCTTCCCCGTGCTCTGCTCTTGATACACATGGCTGTCTGCTTTGGAAGCTGTGCTTCCTCAGGCTGTGGGAGCAATTGGGAACCTGTATAAGAGGCATGGAGGAGCTGCGGTCTTATTTATGACCCTGGGAAGATGGTAAGGGGAAGGGGAGCTTTGTGTTTTCCGCTAGGCCTACAGTGCCTCGGGGCCATGAATCTAACCTGCAATTGGCCCATGCATGCCTGGCTCCCAGATTTCAATCCAGCCTGCACAGCTCTGCAAAGCACAGGGTGGGGTGGCCGTGCCCTGATAGAAAGGGAAGGACCCAGGCTGTGGGACAGAGCAGAGCAGGCCCTAGGGAGTGTCAGAGGCAGGCTGGCGCAGGGCAGCAGGTCTGGCAGGAGGAAGCGTGAGGGGGAACAAGGTTGCAGGGAGGGTCTTTAAGTGGGGCTTTCAGAAAGGCGCAGCCACTCTTCTGAGATACGACAAGGACAGCTCCTCGAGCTACCTGCCTCTGGGTCTGCTGGTACCCTGCTGTCACAGGCCTATGAGCTGCTTGGAGGGGAGAGGCCTGGGGATCCCCAACGTGAAGAGACTGAGCCACCACCTGGCTCCTAGATACTCCGCTAAGTAAATCAGGAGTAACTCCAGAGCAAGCAGAGAAGTTAGACCAACTTGAAACATGTACCAGGGACCGTGGAACAATGCTCCAGGGTCAGCTGCCATGCAGAGGATGCCCCTGCTCCGTCCGCACACCTGTCCACTGCCTGGGACTCGGGGTTTGCCAGCACTCCCCGCAGCTGCTTACTTCAGGGGGAACAGTGCTGGGCGGCTCCAGCACTGCACAAAACCCAAGGCAAATAGGAGCCCTGCAAGGCGCTGAGCCCAAGCTCTGCCCAGCCTGCCCGCCCCATCCCTGAGAGCCCACTGGGGGTTAAAAAGGTTACTCAAGCCTGGGTGAGGACATCACAGCAGGGTATTGGCCTCACCACTGCCAGGACCTGGGGTGAGAAAAGCCGCACCTGGCTGGGTCAGGCGGCTGCAGCCGGAAGGCCGTGCCGGCAAGCCAGCAATTCGCAGGCTGCCTTCCTCTTTCACCAATTAATCATCAGTTTGTAATTTGGGAAAGGGGCATGATCCCCTGCCACCCTCCCTGCCCTGGAATGGGTGTGAAAAGCACTAAATCTTTCAGCAGCGTTCGCCTGGGAAAGCGCTCCAGGCTCCGAGACAGACGGACCTGTCAGACCTGAGAACAAGCACCTGGTGCCTGGAGCCGTGAGCAAGGGGAAGCGTGTCAGCCAGACGGGTCAGGGACAGCTCAGTTGCCAAATGAGCCCTTCACACACACGCACACATGCACACACATCCACACACCCCCTTCCACCCCCCACAATTCCTCCCCACCCCACACTGCTGGACTGAGGCAGCTTCAGGCTGTTTCCCCTCTCCCCCTGCTTTCTTTAGCATGCAGCGGGACATGACTGCTCTAAGTCCTCCTTATACCAAAGTCATCCAAGGAGAGCTTTGTTCCAAGCAAACTTGCATTCACTCGCCTTCCCCCTGTGGCCCTAAGGCTGATCACTGTCTGACAGGTTCAAACCAAGGAAGCCAAATCCAGCTTGGAGACACTGGGATGCCCAACACCTGAGGGTGCTCAGAAAAGCCTCTTAGCAAATCTCCATGTCATCAACAGCCTGGGCTCCACATCCATCCCCTTGGCATGGCTGCACATGGCTGTGGAAGATGCAGGACACCAGGGACTGTGCTGCAGGCTGTAGAAAGCTTTCATCATGCTGGAGTGCAAAGGTGCTACTCTCCTGCCCGCATGCCCGCTTCAGCTAGCACTCCCCAGTCCCAAGCTGGCGTCCTTGCCAGACCCAGATGAACAGCTCTTGCAGTCGGAGCTCAGCCGTGTGCACCTATAATGAGCCTTCTCCATCTGCAGCAGAGCCTGGCCTGCCCCTTCCAGCACTGCAGTCCCTGGAGGTGCCTGAGCCCAAGCTCTCCAGCAAAGGAATCTAGCGAAGCCCAGGGTCTTAAAGCAGGACTGCGAGGGTGGGCGGAGAAAAGCTTATCCCAGGATTTTTTATTATTAGCCTTTTATTGGAATTTCTAGACACTGGGATGCTTGGAAAGGGAACAATGAGCAGAGCCGGCCTGTGCTGGGGTTTTTTTAATGGACGGAATCCAAATTTCGACACAGAGCCGCACCCAGGGGGTGGAATTTGGGCGCACGGGCCCGACCATTTGGCATTTTTCTGACATGCAGTCACAAAATGCTCCCTCCACCTCCCACCCCTTCCTCTCTGTTGGCAGCCGAGCAGTGGGGTGGTGGGCACAGGCCTGGCCTTCTTGTGGTAAAAAGGGGGCCCAACAGCTTGAGCTCATCTCTTTTTCCCTAGACCACGGCATGTGACAAACAGCCTCCTGCCCGAGCGACATGAGCTTGCAAACTAAAACA